ACCAATTTTTGAAGATTTAATTTAAAAAAAAACATGATTATTAATTTAAAAAAAAAGATGATATTATTTTATATAAATAATGTTAAATTGAAAAAATAAATTTTCATACATACATATGTATTTTTTAGTATATATTTATATTCTGTGTATTATTATTTTGTATATATTGATTTGTTTATAATAAAACTTCATTTTTATTTCCATTCTTTTCTTTATTTGCGGCCCGCGATTTAATGTATAAAACTTAAGATGGCCCCCGGTGGTTAACGAGTTTGACATGCCTGGATTAGAGCATCTAAAAAATGCGCATTTTTTTCTAAGGTGAATAGGCGACGGGTGTTTATGCATTTGTAAGAATTTGAAATATTTTAAAGTAACAAATATACAGTAATACGTAAGAAAATCCAAAATCCAAAATGAAATATAATTTATAACATTTAGAGAAAAACCAAACGTTTACATATATTTCGTTTTTTTAGTTTTATTTATAAAAATAAAAATAAAGATCGACAGTTTAATGATGAATGATAATATGAATTATTTAAAAACGTCCCTGAAAGGAGAATCACCTTGGCACCCTCTGTCTGTAAATCAGATTTACCAGTGAACAAAACATCTCCACCGTCCAAGCGTGCATTTTTGTCTGCTATCTCTATAAGCGGGATCTCCAGCTCCTTCTTTAAAACAACTCTAATTGTCTCAATCTGAAATTACATCATCGTCTTATTTTAGTTATTCGAACACTGCAAATGTCATATGCTAATAAGACAGACCAACAAAAAATGATTTTTCATTCTTGCAATATCCGCTACTTGATTCTTGTAAAAAGTTAGGTTCAGAAAGTAATTTTGTTCTTTTTGGTGAAAATGAAAGACGATTTTCTTAGGGGGATAAATATTTTATTGTCCACCCTTTGCCATCTTTCTGGCATTGGCATGATTCCACGTTCATGAAACCTCTGACCTTTGCTGGCAAAAAATAGATTGAAGCCATTTTTGACGTGCTCATTTGAAGTAAAGGTTTTGCTGTCTAAAAGGTTTTGCAGAGACTGGAACAGGATAATCTAAAGGTGCCAGATCTGGAAAATATGGTGGCTGTAGTAGTACATCCCAACCAAGCTCTAAAAGCTTTTGGCGAATCACCAAACTTGTATAAAGTCTCGCATTATGGGGAAGGAACCCATATGTCGAGTTGTGAAATTAAAGGCGTTCCATGTGATCATAAATGGTCGAATTTGATAAATTTAGCGATCTCGCGAGTTGTTATTCGACGATTTGCATCACTCAATGCCTTTATGTTACATTCGTCAGCTTCAATTACCAGTACGTGGTGCATATTCAGCATCAAAATTGCCCGAACGAAATTTTGCAAATCAGTTTTAGCACTGGTGTTCAGTTAATGCACCTTCTTCATACACATCGAATACTCTTTTTCTTACTTGAACACATTTTTTTACCTTTTCGATAGTAAAAAATGTAAAGTATATCAAAAATGCTGTTTTTGATTTTCCATATTTGATTGGACAGCAAAAACTATTGCGCAGAATTAAGCATATTTTTTCACAAACAAACCTTGCTACATCAGCTCTCAAAATATATAACGACAATGCGGCTTAAGTGTGACGTTGGTTGTGAAAAAATACAATTAAGTCCTTTGTTTGGAAAAAAACGAAATTACTTTTCGAACGACCATTTTATAGCAGATTTTAACAGATCTTGAAGTAGAACTGCTCTATTACATATCGTTTTCGAAAAACTTTCTAGATAT